TAGTCTCATTAATACTTTTGATGACTACAAGGAAAATATCATCCTCCCATAATTGCCCAACTACTTAGATAGTTACTGGCAATCCAACAGTTCCTTTCATATCCTTTTTTATATTCATTGTAATCATATCATTCACTTCATCATAATAAGTCAAATCCTCACCTTCTTGTACTTCTGTTACTGGCACAACTCAGATAGGGTATTGAGTGATGGTGAAAGCATTTAAATAATCATTGAAGCCACCAACTTTCCCAATGCTAGCATGTTTAAAAGCGGAATTGCATAGGTAGGAATAATCAAAGCCTTAATACTAAGTTCTTTCAACTTTTATGCATCTTCTCGTAGAAATACTCACCTATTCTAAAAATCTCTTTTCACCCTTAAACTCTAATATTTTAAGAGTAAAAATTTTACATATTAGTATTGTTAGCAAGAGGTCTCTCGTAGTTTTCTATCATCCTCTTATAATTCTTAAAAACAGCATGAGCGATCAATCCAAGATATAACTCTTTGCTAAAGAGATTGTTTAGTAAGTCTAATACCTCTTTGCATTGAAAGATTAGCCTCAATAGCAGGAAGACCAAAACAATGCCCAATCTCGAATTTTCCATTCAAAGCTCTATCAATGAATAAGCATTAATTTTTAGTGAAGAATCAAAGTAGCCAATTTTTTATGATCTTTAGCCCTATTAAAAACTTGAATCCTAGTATTATATCATGGGCAGTCTTTCCTAAAGGTTCACAGCAGGTCATTATTTAAGTGAAGCAAGTGAAGTTGTCTTTCAAGCATTCTATATGACCAGTTTACACGATTCTCCAGGAAGTTGGGTTAATGCAAAAAACTCAGTTAAATGATTTGGTACTCTGAGACTACCTCCTCTAAGATCGGTTCCAAAAGAATTCGGAATACATCTTGAAGCAAATAACGCAGCATCACTACCAGAGGATCCTCCACAAGATCTTTCTTAGTCATATGGATTTAGAGCTCTACCCCAGAGTCTATTATCTGTATGATATGATCCAGCTCCCTATTATTATAAATTCATAAAGCTATTTACTACGTACCTAGGGTATGCTACCTTTTACTAAAATAATTGCACCTTGTTGCTTTAGCACCTTCACAATAGTATCATTTTCTTCTAAAAGGTTATCCATCATGAATTATGTTCCGACTGTTGTTCTTTTACCTTTTGTTAAAGCTAAAAATAATAAATATAATCTTATAGATTACCATATCTTTGATAATAAAGGGAATGCCATAAAGCAAAGGAAGAAAATGATCTTTTCATTTCTCATTGTTTCTTCTCTTTCTTTATCCTTCTTTCTAGTTTCTTCAATAGCTTCATCAAAGCACTCTTCAGCATTCAATCTAAGTCTTCTACCAATAAAGTAGCATTTATTAGCAAAATATGAACCATCTACTAGCTAGAGTAACTTCTCCATAAAGAAGCTTTTATCTTAACTAAGATACATCTAGGTCTAAAAAATCACTCTCATTCTCAACCTTGAGGAATTTGTGTCTTCTATTTTGCTTCTTATCTATAAATAATAAGTAATTACAAAATCAGCAAATACCTTAGCACTAGCCTCTAATTTGCTATTTCTATAATTCCAGTATATGTATCTTCCTGCTTTGTTGAGGATATATAGTCCAAGCAGGACAGCAAAGCGTATATTTATTTACTATCTTTTTGCAAGTATTTTTCTATCTTTTTCATTAGAAAATATTATAATAAAATCATAACCACAATATGGAAGTATTTTCATCTACAGGGGTTTTGGGGTTTTGGGG